GTCAGGGTTAGGGGGCATGGGTAAACTGAGCAAAGACGGAGGGAAGGAACCGGGAGAACAGACCAGAGGTGGACGGGCGGTGTCCGGAGGAGGAGGAGGAAAAGGAGGAGACATCCGAGAGGAGCATCAAGGACAGCAGAAGGAAGAGGGGAGAGGAAGTAGAAAGTAGGGGAGCGCACCTCAGCAAGGGCATCAACCGAAAGGGAAGCGGGGGCCAAAGAAACCTCCATAACATGAACAGGGGGCGCAACCACCGAAATGGGAGGAGAAGGAGCGATAGAGTCAGAAGTAGGGGCCGAGGAAGAAAGCAAAGCCTTCTTACCTGCCGGGGAAGTGGAAGGAGAGGAGCCAGGCTTAAGCTTCTGACTTAAATAGACCGGCGTCCCAGCAACTACGTACCGGGTAACGGATTCTAGTGTCTCAACAGGAGAAGCTGAACGAGAGCACACACAACAGCCGTTAGGAGAGCGATGGACATCAGCCCACACCGACAGGCGGCGGGGAGAGTCAAGAGACAGAGGAGAAGGATGGGAAGGAGGATCGGAGGGAGACGAGGAAGAAGACACAGGAGACATGACAGACCGGGTAGAAAGAAGGGGGAACCCCAGACAGAGGGCCAGGAGGAGGACTCTGCGAGACAAAACTCAAAGGAACAGATGGGGCAGTGGGCGTATCAGGGTCCAAGGACCGGAAACGGTTGCGAGTCTGAGGAAGGTGGGAAGGACGAGGAGAGGAAGAGCGCAACACACGAGCGTAAGAGAAGTTAGCATAAGGTGGGAGCCGGCGAATCTAGCGCCTCGCCTCAGGAAAAGATAAACGCTCCCGGTGCTTCAAGTTGAGGACGGCTGCCTCAAGCTTGTAATGGATACATGCACGGGAGAAGATTGGGTTCTCATCGCAGTTGAGGCAGCGAGCCTGGGAGAGAAGTGCACCCCGACTTAGAGTGACCTTCGCCCCCCACACAAAGGACAGAGACAGACAGTCCCCGAGCAGCGGAGGGCACCATGCCCAAACCTCCAGCACTTGTTACAGAGCCTAGGAGAAGGAATGTACTCCTGGACAGAGCATCTGGCACCAGCAAGAATGACAGAGGATGCAAGGGTCCAACCATCAAAGGTAATCTTCACAACCCGAAGGGGTTGAGGGCAACGACCACGAGGGAGACGAGTAAACGAGTCTACCTGGAGGACAGAATGGCCTTGGGCATCAAGGATGTACCGAATATCATCGTGGCAGTCCTGCAGATTCCGAACACCGGTCGCAACATGGGGCGGGAGGAGAATAGTGCCAACACTGGCATTCAACCGAGCGTTCTTTGAGACCTGAACAGGGATGTCACCAAGGCAGGATAAGGCAGCCAAGTGGGAAGATGCATCCTGAGAAGGAGCAGCAACGACAGGTGAACCGAGACGAGTGGGGTTGAAGGTAACAGAAGCATCCACGGAATCAACAAGATGCCGATGGATGGAGAAATTGTCAGGAGGCGCAGAATCCAGAGGGAAGAGATCGAAGTATTTGGCCCATGAAGCGGGACCAAACAAGGCCTGATACGCATCAGTACAGGAAGGAATCGAGCGAGTGCGGCCATGGCGCGGACGGCGTTGAGAACCCCCAGAGAGGGGTGAAAAGGCGCAGTAGTCACAACGAGAGACTTAGCCGCGCCAGGGGACGAAGTGGTCACCACTGGGGGCTGGAGGCTCGACCCAACCACAGAGGAGGGAGGGAAGCTGGGGGAAGAAGTATGTAGGGTCAAAGGAGGAGCAGGGTCGGGGCCCAACACAGCGGGGGCTACAGAGCCCGGTTTTCCAATACAGGCCGACTCGAGGGCTTGGTCACCCACCCCACGAGCCTGAGAGGCTACAACAGAAACATTCACCAACATAAATATGAAGAGTGACAAATTCATCCACGAATGTGCCCCCATACCCACCAGGGAGCCACAATTAGAGGCAGGACACCCAACAGAGAGTCATCGCCGATCATGCCGGGTGCCCCCTAGGGGTGCGTCGTGAGTATATGCACCACAAACGCCACCTTAAGAACCGACAGTCCGTCGAGATCGGGTTCAGCGACGAAAGGGGGATTGACAATAAAAGGTTCCCCCTCGCTCAAGACGTTGGGTATTACAGTTCTACGGGTGCAAGAGTATGCTTCCTCAAGCACAGAGGCGTCAAAATAGAAGAAGTCCAAAGGAATACCCAAAACAAGCAAAAGGTCGGCAGGAAACGACAAGCAGATAGGAGAAGAGGGCGGAGAAAAACGAAACAGAAGGAAAAGGAAAAGTCGTTCAGCACAATTAGAGAGGACAGCAGCAGGAGCACAAGGTCACAAAAGGACAGAGGACTGTCCCAAGGAGCATCACACTCCAGCAGCCGCCCACTAAGCCCCCCTCACGGCATCAACGAGCTGAACTGGGAGGGGGAACACATCATAAAAACATCTCCCTTGAATCAACTTAATTATCAGAACCAAAATCAAGTAGATGTAAGCACTCTAACCAATTTTGAAAACTGGAGAAAAAGGGATGCGAGTGGGAGGGTTGGCTCAGTCAGCAATTGTTAATTTTATCAACAACACCTCGAGTGGAGCTCACTTAAATTTCGACAATAACTCCCTTGGACGATTTGTTATGAGAAGTACTTCCATTGTAAACATACAGTCATCATCTTCAAATAAGGGAAGTGTCCAATACCGAAATCTTATCTAGTCATTCCTGGTTAGCAATGTTAGGTAGATAGGATTATTCCGGTTAGGACACGTAACGAGACACAAACTAGGGGGAGCAATATTATCATCTCTTTATTTAAGTTGGCAATATTTTCTTGATATAGCTGTCATATTAGGATTCCTGCTGGTATTGGTGTGTCCTTTGACAGGTGTAACAGAAGAACAACAAGAATTAACACTAGTATAGCTAGTTCATCAGTATATGGTGTTGATGCCAGCCTCAACCATGAGGATTATTTGGTGATAATTTTTGTTCATAACTGTTGGACCAGTTATGAACATGATAAAGATAAGCTATATGCGGATGAAGATAAACCGTAGTTAGTTTAAGTTACCTATGTAGTCTAATACTGTAGTGAATGTCTACTAATGAATAATTTTGATTTGAAGAATATATATGTAAACAATTTAATAAGTCCCCAGAATGTGTAAGGAAAGTGATTTGTGAGACATTATTTGAAATACAGTCCACTGTAACCAAAGAGTTTACTATCGAAAAATATAAATTAATGTATAATATGAATTCTATATAAATTATTATAAAATAAATAAATATCAATCTCACAGGTCAATTCCTGACCGCACGAAGCTCCTCCACCACCACCGCCGAATCCGCCATAACATCACCAGGTTACCGCTGCCCCATCGTCAGAAGACATGTAACTTGCAAACTCTCCCACATATGCCCAGGAAGAACCTGCAAAGTCCAAACTTGGCAAAGAACGCCTCAAGTGCTTAGGATCAAGGGTGCATATCATCAGAACTCTCCACAGCCACAAAATCTAATACCCGGGAGATGCAGGGAGTTCGATCTCAGGCACGCAGCAAGACTTGGGGAAGCAAGCAGCAGCAGCAACGACGTGGGGAACTGGTCCAAGCACAGCAGGAGGCTGCGACTCCTCACACCCCATTGGCACGGCAGGCAGAAGCGGCGGACATGCGGAGATGGGAGCCACAGGAGAACAGGGCATAAAAGACACAGAAGAGGGAGGTCGACCCGCCGCTCCACACCAAAGCCAGCAGCATGAACAGCAGCCGCAGAACATACATTGGAAGATGGCACAGCATCCGGCGCCCGACACCCACCAGGAGCAGCTGCTCCATTCTACACATGGAGAGACACTGCATCCAAGGCAACGACCACATCCACTCCTTCCGGAGCCTCGTTAACAGCCAGCGGAGGGAATTCTTCCTCGCGGAAAAAAACACCCTCTCTAGGATGTCCGCAGAGCATCCAGCAGCTATGAGAGCCGACATCCCACAACAGAAAATGTCCATGGCTGCTGGACATAATACATAAGGATGTAAAACCCCATTAGCTTCACAGAAGATGGGATGTCCGACCAAAGCCGGATTTCCAGCGTCCGGATGCCATTTTGAACGCCCTGTAAATGACAAGATGAAATAACATTCGTCCGCATACTCACCACTTTCCAAAACTGCCCGAAGTGCCTCCACAGTAACTCCTCTGGAAATTCAATAGGAGCGCCATGTACACTGACGTATGTCGAAGCACCACTGTGGTAGTTGGACACAACAACAACTGACCCAGCAGCTCCCAGCAATTTAAAGGTCCGCCCCTCAAACTGGCGCAGAAACACCCGGTAATCCTCTTCAGTAGCCAACATCACCACCGCCCGATGGGTAGTCAAAAGCTACACCCCACAAACGGCAGCCACGTCGACACCCAGCACATCACACAACGTCAGCAGCGCCACATGGTTATCCACCTAGCCAGAATAGTCCAGGCCAACAGACTGAGGGGCCTGGTGGTTAGCGTGCAGGACTCGTAATTCTGTGGCGCGGGTTCGATTCCCACACCAGGCAGAAACAAATGGGCAAAGTTTCTTTCACCCTGAAAGCCCCTGTTACCTAGCAGTAAAATAGGTACCTGGTAGTTAGTCAGCTGTCACGGGCTGCTTCCTGGGGGTGGAGGCCTGGTCGAGGACTGGGCCACGAGGACACTAAAGCCCTGAAATCTTCTCAAGATAACCTAAAGATAACCTGGGTGATATAGGGGGCTACTCACTGGGCACGAGATGGGTGTTGAAGAGAGCTACTCACAGAGCACGAGATGGGTGATGATGAGAGATACTCACAGGGAACGAGATGGGTAATGACGAGAGCTAATCACAGAGCACGTGATGGGTGATGAAGAGAGTTACTACACACAAGGCACGAGTTGGGTGATGTAGAGAGTTACTCAGGACACAAGACGGATGATGAAGAGTTACTCACAGGGTTTGAGATGGATGATAAATAACGTTACTCACAGGGCACGAGATGGGTGATGTAGACAGCTACTCACAGGGCACCAGTCTGGTGAAGGATCACGGAGGACTGACTACTCACAGAGCACCAGTCTGGTGAAGGATCACGGGGTGACTGGTGAACAACTCTACCACACCAAGGGCGCGGCCCTCTCCTCCAGAGACAGGATGTGTCAAGATTGTCCGTTTTCTCTCCCTGATCTTCAAATTATTTTCTCATTTTTACACAGGGAAAGTTCTGTTTAAAAGTAAGAGAAACAGCCTTTTGTTGACTCCACTGGACACAGCTTGTGTGGGTATTTTCCAGGAATGTTCTGCAGGGGAGAATTACAAGCGTAAATATATTTTCAGAGTGTGAGAAAGTGCGAATCACAAGTGTAAAGGTCACAAGAGAAGTAAAAATAAGCTTAATATCATATGATACTGGAGCGGAAGGATATAGATAATCTAGAGATATGAATGACGTAGGTGTGCTGAAGACAAATTTCCTTCAACGGCTTTTACTGTGTTTTATATATATATATATATATATATATATATATATATATATATATATATATATATATATATATATATATATATATATATATATATGTCGTGCCTAGTAGCCAGAACGCACTTCTCAGCCTACTATGCATGGCCCGATTTGCCTAATAAGCCAAGTTTTACTGAATTAATATATTTTCTCTAATTTTTTTCTTATGTAATGATAAAGCTACCCATTTCATTATGTATGAGGTCATTTTTTTTATTGGAGTTAAAATTAACGTAGATATATGACCAAACCTAACCAACCCTACCTAACCTAACCTAACCTATCTTTATAGATTAGGTTTGGTTAGGTAGCCGAAAAACTTAGGTTAGGTTAGGTTAGGTTGGTTAGGTAGTCGAAAAAACATTAATTCATAAAAACTAGGCTTATTAGGCAAATCGTGCCTTGCATAGTCGGCTGAGAAGTGCGTTCTGGCTACTAGGTACGACATATATATATATATATATATATATATATATATATATATATATATATATATATATATATATATATATATATATATATATATATATATATATATATATATATATATATGTGTGTTGTACCTAGTAGCCAGAACGTCGTACTCGGTCTACTATGCAAGGCCCGATTTGCCTAATAAGCCAAGTTTTCCTGAATTAATTTATTTTCTCTAATTTTGTTCTTATGAAATGATAAAGCTACCCATTTCATTACGTATGATGTTAATTTTTTTTTATTGGAGTTAAAATTAACGTTGATATATGACCGAACCTAACCAACCCTACCTAACCTAACCTAACCTATCTTAATAGGTTAGGTTAGGTTAGGTTGCCGAAAAAGTTAGGTTAGGTTAGGTTAGGTAGTCGAAAAATAATTTATTCATGAAAACTTTGCTTATTAGCCAAATCGGGCCTTGCATAGTAGGCAGAGAAGTGCGTTCTGGCTACTAGGTACGACATATATATATATATATATATATATATATATATATATATATGTCGTACCTAGTAGCCAGAACTCACTTTTTGGCCTACTATTCAAGGCCCGATTTGCCTAATAAGCCAAGTTTTCCTGAATTAATATAATTTTTCTAATTTTTTTCTTATAAAATGATAAAGCTACCCATTTCATTATGTATGAGGTCAATTTTTTTTTATTGGAGTTAAAATTAACGTAGATATATGACCGAACCTAACCAACCCTACCTAACCTAACCTAACCTATCTTTATAGGTTAGGTTTGGTTAGGTAGCCGAAAAAGTTAGGTTAGGTTAGGTTAGGTAGGTTAGGTAGTCGAAAAACAATTAATTCATGAAAACTTGGCTTATTAGGCAAATCGGGCCTTGCAAAGCAGGCTGAGAAGTGCGTTCTGGCTACTAGGTACGACATATATATATATATATATATATATATATATATATATATATATATATATATATATATATATATATATATGTCGTACCTAGTAGCCAGAACGCACTTCTCAGCCTACTATACAAGGCCCAATTTGCCTAAAAAGCCTAGTTTTCCTGAATTAATTGTTTTTCGACTACCTAACCTACCTAACCTAACCTAACCTAACTTTTTCGGCTACATAACCAAACCTAGCCTATAAAGATAGGTTAGGTTAGGTTAGGTAGGGTTGGTTAGGTTCGGTCATATATCTACGTTAATTTTAACTCCAATAAAAAAAATTTACCTCATACATAATGAAATGGGTAGCTTTATTATTTCATAAGAAAAAAATTAGAGAAAAAATATTAATTCGGGAAAACTTGGCTAATTAGGCAAATCGGGCCTTGCATAGGAGGCCGAGTACGACGTTCTGGCTACTAGGTACAACATATATATATATATATATATATATATATATATATATATATATATATATATATATATATATATATATATATATATATATATATATATATATATATATTATAAATTTTTTTTTGAGACTTATTGTACACAGGTGTTGTACACAGTTTGGAAAATGTGTTCACCCGCTGTAGCAGTAGACTTGAGTATGAACTCTGGGATATTAGGAGTTTTAGAAACTCATATTTCAATGTATTTATGTTGGTTAAGACACATGTCTGTGGACATTTTTTTTTTTTTAATAAACATTTTTTTGTGTGTATTTGCTTTAGATTTTAAGGATCCAGATATGCTGTGATGTGTAATTGCTACAGGTGTGGAGTGGAACACTAGGACTTTGAGAGGTAGTGTTCCTCTATTTGAATATTTTTTTTTTTTTTTTTAATTTTAATGACATTGGTTTATTTTAAATGTTTCTATTTTTTTGTGATGTATGTGTTTGATTTTGATTCCAGGAGGAATACTGGGATAATTAAGTAATTATCAAAAGAAGGCACCAAACCGGGAAGGCTATGTAGCACCATCAAATGTGCGGAATAATCAGAGGGCGCTAAATATCACCAAGGATGCCTATACGAGAACAGAAATGCACAAGGCGAACGATATCAAAAGTATCCGATTCACCAAGAATTCAAATGAAGGAGAAGCGACCGCGGGGGACGGTTGGAAAACAAGACACACGCTCATCCTGGAAGTTAGGACATTCAACAAGAATATACTCGACCGTAAGAGGGACAATGCAATATGGACAATAAGGAGCAGAAAGGTCATCCATCAAGTGACCATGAAGTAAGCGAGTATTGCCAATACATAACCTCGCCAGAGCCGTTTCCCATCGCCAGTTACGGTGGCAGGAGAACGGCCACGAGGACACACAACTCTTACGAGTACACAGTTTGTTACCAGTACCAGACAACCAACAAGCCTGCCAATGGGTAAGGATGGAGGAATGGATAACCGGGTAAAAGTCGAAATATGGAATACCTTTACAAGAGATGGAACAAGAGCGGCAGCTTTTTGGCAGCAGCATCCGCACGCTCATTTAAAGAGACACCAACATGGCTGGCAACCCAACAAAACTCAACCGTCTTAAATTTACTGTGAACAAGAAACAGCCAATGCTGGATCTTGACAACTACTGGATGAACTGGATTAAAGGACCCGAAAGCCATGAGGGCACTACAAGAGTCAGCAAGAACTACAAAGGAAGATTGACAACGAGAAAGTAGGAGACGAAGAGAATAAAGAATAGCATAAAGTTCCACTGTGAAGATGCTAGTTTCCGGAGGTAAGCGACACATATAAGTGCAATCAGGAAAAACAACAGAGTAGCCTACACCGTCCACAGACTTAGACCCATCGGTGAAGACGGAAACGGAGCGAGAGTGAGAAGAAAAGTGCTCAAGGAAAAGGCATTTTAGAACCGTAGGATAGGTAAAAGCTTCAGTGATGTGAGTTAAGGATGTATAAAACTGTGGAAGGGGGACTCTCCACGGGGGCAAAGAAGGAACAACACGAGTACAAATATTAGAAACGCGAACTGAAAGAGAATCCTGTAAGCGAGATAACCGGACAGAAAGAGGGTGGTGGTGAAGAGGAACAGGAACCGCAGGAGGGGTAAAAGGTAAAGCACGACAGAGGTGAGAGGAAGGATGTTGCAAGGACCGCGCAAGATAGCGAAGACAGTAGCGATCACGGCGTTCCTGGAGAGATAGAAAGCCAGTGCCAACATACAAGCTGAGGACGGAAGTCGAACGAAAGGCACCAGAACTGAGGCGTAATCCAGTATGGTGCAAATCATCAAGACGGCAAAGAGTAGAAGGAGAAGCAGACGAGTAAGCAGGGCAACCATAATCGAGTTTAGACAGGACAAGAGAGGAATGTAAAGTGAGTAGAGTGCGACTATCCACTCCCCAAGAAGTATGGGATAATACCTGAAGGAGGGTAAGGGCCTTAGAGCATTCAACACGGAGGTAAGAGATATGGGACGACCAAGACAAATGAGTGTCAAAAATCAACCCACAGAAGCTTACGGAATCCCTGTACACAATGGGGTGACCATAAAGCGACAAAGAAGGACGAAGAACGACACGCTTCCAATTGAAAGTCATAGCACAAGTCTGAGACGTAGAGAACCTGAAGCAATGATCGGTTGCCCAAAACGACACTGCATCAATCACAAGTTGAAGCCGGCGTTAAAGGAGAGGCGAATCATCACCCGGACAGCAAAGGGTAAGATCGTCGACATTTTTATTTATTTATTTATTTATACAAGAATGTTCATTGGGTTTGAGAGAATACATAGCATAGCATTTACAATCTTGTAAAGTCACTAGTACGCGCAGCGTTTTGGGCAGGTCCTTAATCTAACAGATAATTTTAAGTAGGTAAATTCTAGCAGAATTAATAAAATGATAACAGATACATTGCAAGAAAAAAATGAGACGAGAGAGAGATTAGTAAGTATATTAAAGCACATTGGTATATTAAAGCTCTGATTGATTACATTGACAACTTGATTGGTAATTTAAACCAAATTAATAGACACCATACTGCAGATAGATAGCACATATAAGAAGACAGCAATGATCACAATGGTAAAGATGTCCGGATTGGGTACATAAAGATTGGGAAATTGGGTAGCAATAGAAAGTGCAATTTAAAGCAAAAGGTAAAAAAACTATTTAGATGAAATTAGGTACTTTTTAGTTTTGTTTTTGAATGATGCAAAAATTGGACAGCTTTTCAATTCATTAGGGAGTGAGTTCCATAGACTGGGTCCCTTTATTTGCATAGAGTGTTTACACAGATTAAGTTTGAATGTGGGGATATCAAAAAGATATTTATTTCTGGTGTGGTGATAATGGGTCCAA